TCCAGGCGATAATGTGTGTATCGCCGCCTACCTAAATCTATTAGAATGTGGTGATGGTAGTCCTTCAAGAACTGCATGTTTTATAGGAAGAAGAAAACCAAACAACCTGCAAATGAAGATGTACGCGAAGAACCGCTCTTGCAAGTGCCCGAGAATGACGTGGATGCAGAGATGTCTGATCATAACGATGAAGCTGCATCAGATGCAGGTTGGTTATCTAGTCCACTCATATTGAATCAGCTACCTAAACTAGTCTTGTAGGCGAAGGCCATTCGGATGTGCCTGAATTAGGAGAAGACGATGAAGAAGATCAGTCAAATGTTGAGAAAAAGCAGCGGAAGACCGGGGTATGTTTGATGTTTTTAGTATGGGAATCGACGTTAAACTAGAAACTTACAACTGATTTAGGTGTTGTACTTTTCAAGAATCCCTCCGAAATTTACTCCATCACGATTACAGGAATATTTTGAGCGTTTTGCTCCTGGCCTGATAGGAAGAGTTCATTGTACTGTAAGTTATTTACAACAGTCAGAATCCAGCCCATGGCTTCTTTATATTCTGGCTTAGATAGAACAACTTGTTACACCTTGACATTCACTTCAAAATATGGCTGTAAAGAAGACGATCTAGATGTGTGTTTATAAAAAATGTTTCAGAAAAACAAGAATGCGAAGACGATTGAGAATCGTTTTTCGGAGGGTTGGTTGGAAATCAAAAAGAAGAAAGTTGCCAAAATGTTGGCTGCTCGATTTGATAACACACCTGTGGGAGGCAAGAAAAGAGACTATACGTCAAGCGTATTATGGAACATCAAATATCTCAGCTCGTGGGTACTTTATGTTGAATGTGATTCTGTAGTCTCCCCAAGATTTTATTTTTGAGCAGGTTTTCTTAATTCTATTTTCTTTTCAGCTTCAAATGGGTGCATCTCATGGAGCAGTTACAATTTGAACATGCGATATCAGCTCACCGCATGTCTGCTGAAATAGCACAAGCTAAAAGAGTTGCTGCTTTCTTTGAAGAACAGGTTGAAAAAGGACGGCATTTGAAAAGACTAGAAGAAAAGGTGAAAATTTGTTTGGTTTTTATGAAACGTCTGTGCCTTTTTTTTTCAACTCCTTCTTGCAGGCACTTAAAGCCAATGGAATGTGGAATAAATTTCAACGTGAAATTGAGCAAAGGAAGGTTGTCAAGACGAAACGAAAAAAGCTGAAGTCGAGCCAGTCTCATTCTGCAGCTAAGGACGATGACGTGCTACAAATGATCTTTGCTGAATAATTTGATCAGTTGTGTTATGTTGTTACTTTGTTATGCTATGTAAGAAGTTGAAATGAAAAACATTACTTTTGATCTGAGTTATGCAGTTCTTTGACTAGAAACGCACTGTAAAGCTCTACGATCACACCGGAAACTAATGATTATAAAATTTGGGAGTCAGGCATCTCTCCAAGGACTACATAAGAATAGAAAAACTGTTGACTGTGCCCAACATTTTGGGGGAGGAATATTTTCTAAAGGTCATTCATGAAATCGTCGCTCAAAGACCAGCTTGAGTTCTCTTCTTTAGTCGAAAAATGGGTTCCTGGAATCAGTTCAGCCGTAGATAGGGACGTTGTTTCCG